TATATAAATATCTATTTATCTGTCTGAGCCCTACCCTCACCCACTTCTCCATGCACTAGGGGCCCAGTCCTGAATGGGCTCCTCCCTTATCCTGACCTTGCATTCCTCAGCCCCTCTCTGTTCCCTAGCCCTGTCCCTTGAGGTAAGGGGGCTCTAGAAAGGGGACAGGAAGGGGACCAGACCTTGGCTGCATGGGGAGGGTCAATGTGACTTTTCCTTTACTTGTCTCCCTCTGCTCCTCCTGACTCTCCAGCCTTGGTTCCTCCAGCATCGCCTGAACAGAAGCTTGAATGGAAATCCAACCCCAAGAGTAGGACAGCAGATTGGGTGGGGATACAGGATACGGGTGAACCAGGTGGAGTGATGGGAGGAGATCTGCAGAGAGCTCTGGAGAGTCAGCAGAGAGCTGGGTTCCAGACATACTAGACACTAGACATGGAGCCTTTTAGGGAAATGGTGTTCTACAGCATTCTGGAAGGGGGTTGGAAGGGACCCAAGGGAGCGGTTTTAGGAGGGGCATGGTTTTAACATCCAGTGGGCTCCAGAATGAGCCAGCTTGGGTTGGAACCAGCATCTCTAGAAGGAATGTATATTGAAACATGCAGGAGTCTGTGTTTGATTGCAAAGAGCTTGGGCAAGACTTGAACTTGAGCTTGAACTGGGGTTCAGGAGTGATGTAGGCTTGAGAGGAGGTCCTGTCAGGGTTCTAGATGGGCATATGAAGGGTATGAGGAGTGTGTGATGGTCTCTGAATGGAAGCCCTTCCTGTCATGGGGCAGCAAAGAAAATCTGTTTTCAAATGAGTAGGGTTCGAGCAGTAGGTGTGGGTGACCATAGTTAGGAGCTGTGAGACGAGTTGTGTTAAACGCAGGAGAGAGAATACGCACATGGCACCCTGGGAATTGAGGTAACCTGGGAAGAGCCAAGTATTGTGGTTTAGAGGGTGAAGGGTGGGATCCAGAGAGAAATGTCCCTTGCTCACCCCCTCAAGAGACAGCTAGATAATCAGAGGATAGAGTCTACAGGTCTGTGGGGCTGACCCACCCTCTTCCCCTTTCTCTACTCTCTCCCTTCACATTCCCCTCTGCCCCAGAATACTTGGAGGCTGGGTCTGGAGCCCCCATCCTGTACCCTCTGCTGTGTCTGTGATGTTGGTAGTGCCTGTGATCGTGTGTTGCCATGTTGTCTGACTGTGGCCCCTCTCTCTTCCCTCCAGACCCCCTACTTTCCTGTGCCCTTCGGTATTGTTTGAAGACTCCCCCCCTCCAAGGAAAAACAAATATGAGAAATTCCCTTCTCCCAAATAAACTCCTCAACCACCCAGTTCATCTGGCTCTGATTTCTCGGTGCGTCTTTTCCTTTGGGTGCAGATGAAGGGAAAGGAGGCGAGAGGAGAGGAAATCTGAGTTAGCACTGCTTGCTGTACCATTGCTGGCCATTGAATCTTTCTAGGGTGTGGTCCTCATGCTGATCCCTTAGCCACCACCCTTCCTGGTCCCAATGAAGTCTTGTCCTCAAATTCTCAAGGCCTCCATACCTAGGGAGACTCCACAAGACTTCATTCTACCCAAGCTCTTGTTTGTGAACCCTTCAGGTCCTGTGGTAGCTATCTTCTTTCTCTTGCCTTAGCCTAAGGAGGGTAACCAGAGACCTACCAGGTAGGGAGGCTGATTAACTGATGAAGATCCTCCCCTCCCAACCCCAGTTTCTCCCTGGACAAGGGTCAGGAAGTGACAGGGTTGTGTGTAATGGGGTTGGGGGGGGGGTGGAAGGGAGAGTTCCTGGGCGCCCAAGATGAAAGGCCTGTCTGACCCGTTGCCGCCTCATGCCTAATTAAAGACTCCACTGGGGCGCCTGAGTTCTGAGTTGTGGCTGCCAATACTTGACCCCTTTCTAGCCCCCAAGGCCCAGAGATGCAAGAGCAGGAAAGAGAGACCCAGCTCTGGAAGTGAGCTCAGGAAAGACAAGATCTACCTGGCTACAGAAAAATAAGGGAGCAGCGAGAAGGAAAGTTCTAAGACCTACTTGTTTGGGCTGGGATCAGTAGGCACAGTGGCTGGAGTGGATATCTTGGAGGATGTGGAACAGGCCTCGAAACCTGGCCAGTGATTTCACTCTCTTCCACATAAATCTCAGGTCTGTCTCAGAAAATAGAGTAAGTCTAGTAGGACCATGAGTGCCACAGTGCACCAGTTAGGACTGAAGATGAGGTTGGGACCATTCTTGTAACATCCATCCTGAAAAAAGGACTCTGGGAAGGGACCGAGAGGTGGCTTTGATCCTGTCCCCCAAAGCTTCCAAGATAAATTGATACTATTCGTCCAAGCAAGCATTCTAGTGTACCACTGTAATCATGTCGCCACGTCCAACAGCTTTCAAACTCTAAAGACTGTGGTACCGAGGGACACTGGAGGGTCAGCCTCCTGACACCCTGCTCTGGCTCTAGTCCTGGGATGAACTCCAACGACCAGCCGGCTTTCCAGCGAGGCACTCACTCACCTTTCAACTGGGGACAGTGCCTTAGCTACTACAGGCAGGAGGGCGGGCTCTATTTGGCGTGCTCCTCCCACCCCGGAGTCAAATTTACGGAACAGAGCTGCCAGGCCGGACGCGCCTGTGGCCTGGCGGCCCGGAGGACTTCATTCGCCTGACCCGGCTGGGCTTGACTCTGTCTAGGCGCGCCATGTTCGCGCGTGGGTCCCGGAGGCGCCGCTCCGGGCGTGCGGTGAGCAGGGCTCAAGGGCAGTGGTGGGGGTCAGGGGAAAGCTGAGGCCCGGGCGAGGGGGCAAGGCACTGGGACAGAGGGGAGGCGCCCCAGGGATGGCCTGAAAATTCCCTTCCCCAGCTTTCCTAAGACTTAGGCGCTGGGACCGAAGCACACTCGAGGATGCAGAAACGTGTAGAAATGGTGGCTCAGCTCTCTAACACATCTCTCACACGTTTTATCACCCGTTGCAATCTGGGGACACCCCCTTTCCTGTGAATTAATCCTAAAGTTGAAAATGGGGTCTTGGGATTTGAAGTTGAGCAGGGACGCCCTGAGCTCTTGAGTAAAGTACCTCATACATTGGGGAACTGTAAAATAAGGGGGGAGGGGGTGTCCTTCACTCGTGAGTACCAAGACTCAATGAACCAAGATTTGTATAAGATTTCCAAACTTCCATGGGAGTCTGGAGGCTTTTGACTTCCTAGATAGGAGGATTTCCCCTCTTTTCTTTGGAAGATCTCTAACCAAGAAAGGTGGAGTCTGGACCAAAGAAGAGAATAGTCCTAAAGTATGAAGAGTAAAGGCAAAGATGTATTGGGATGGGACTTTCAGGATGGAACAGGGACATACTGTGGTCCTAAACATAGTGACTCCTCAGTTCCTCAGGTAGGAGAGGTGAAGCCAGGATTTGGAGGAGGGGCAGCAGAACTCCTTAGGGAAGAGCATTGTCCAGAGTTCATGGAGATCTCCTGGAAGGGTGGGTTCACAGCCGCCTACCCTGTGGAACTGGATGTTGAAGGGATCAGAATAAGACTTGAGAGGGAATACCAAGATTGGTGACCCTCCTCTGGTAAGGAGAGGACACTGACGGACCTGTCTGAGAACTAGAGAGAGACAGACCAGCCCAGACTGGAGAATTCCCTAAAGGAACATAGAGAAAAGTGGTCCCAGCTGCCCTGCCTCTGGTTTGGTTGTTTCCTCCTCCCCCGCGCTCCAGGCGCGGTCTCAGCCTGCCCAGCGCTGCCCCCAGAGAGACAGGCCCCAGCCTGCGGTTGCGAGCCTGGGAGTGGAGGAACGGGCGTTGACGTCTCCCTCCCTACTCCCGCACCTTATTTCGCCTTGCATCTGCCCCCACCCACTACAGCCTCCCGAGGCAGAGGACCCTGCTCATGGCCAGCCCTGCAATTCCTGCAGGGAACAGTGCCCAGGCTTCCTGCTGCACGGCTGGAGGTAAGTGACCTCTTGCCTTTGTCAGAGCCCTGCTCCAAGGTTTGAGCTCCGCCCACAGAGCAGAGTTGGGAAAGAAACCTAAAAGTCCATTCCAGAGCCCCGCCCCCTGACTCATTCCCGAGAGACCTGTTCCCAGGAGGGTTTCACAGCCCTATTATCCCCAAAAGTATCTTCTTCAAGTCTGGGTTCCATCTCTAGAGAGATCTAGCCCCTTCCACATACTCCCTCAGCCCCCTTCTTAGGCTCAGAACTTTTCTTCTAGGCCCAGTGTTCTCTCCTCCTGGAGCTTTACACCCAAAGTCTAGGAGCCCATAGTCCACAGACTCACTGTCGTGTCCCCACTTTTCCTGTACACAAGTTCAGGGCCTCGACACAAGATCTGCCTCCAGGGGTCCCCCACAGAGTGCAGAATCTTTCCCTAGGAAATTCCTTGATTTGTGACACCAGTCTGAACCCCGGAGTCCCGCCCCTGTTGCCCAGAGACTCTGACCCACGCACCAGAGCTGGTTGGGTGATGTCCTTCAGACCCTGAAGCCCCACCCCTTAGTATCCTACACCAGAATCACAGCCCAACCCCCAGTCCTCTAGGCCCCTGTGTTCCTGACCTGTCATCATCCAGAGCCTGGCACAGCCAGTGTCCCATGGCCTGGTCACAAGCAAAGTCAAACCTTGGCTTAGCCCCAACTCCTGTCATCCCTGGCCTCAGGCACATAGCTCTGTCCCAGCTCTGAACCCTCTAGTGTTAAGCTCCCTGGCTTGCCCTTCTGCCGTGCCTGGGCTGCCTAGGGAGCGGGGTGGGCAACTCCTTAGTAACTGACTCCTATCCTGGCTCTCACAGGAAGATCTGCCAGCACTGCAAATGCCCACGGGAGGAGCATGCAGTGCACACTGTGCCTGTGGACCTAGAGCGCATCATGTGCCGGCTCATCTCGGACTTCCAGCGCCACTCCATTTCTGATGACGACTCAGGCTGTGCCTCAGAGGAGTATGCCTGGGTACCCCCTGGCCTTAAGCCGGAGCAGGTGACCGAAGGCTGGCCACCCACTCTCCTTCTCCAGTGGGTGCACACAGATGCATTTGAGCGCAAATTTATTTCTGGAGGAATGCGGGAGTGTGGTCCAACTGTCAGCGTCTCTGTTCTGAGTGATCGCTGGGCCAGTTCCCCTGGGTCCTGCTCACTTGTCATCCCATTTCTTTTTTTCTTTTTTTAAAGGTGTGTGTGTGTGTGTGTGTGTGTATGCGTGCACCAGGTGTGTATGGGTACCTAAAGAAGCCAGAGAGGGTATCAGATCCCTTGGAAGTGGACTTACGGCGGAGGGGCGTGGCGGGGGGTCACCTGTCATGAGTGTTCTGGGAACTGAGTTCCAGTTCTCTGGGTGAGCGCGAGAGCACTTTCAACCACTAATCATCTCTCCAGCCTCATCTCTAGCCTGCCCAGTAATCCAGACTTGATCTCAGCCCCTTATCACATCACCATGGATGCATCCATTCAGTTATTACTGCGCAGCGATTGTATGTCAGACCTGTCTAGGTCCTGAGGGCAGTAAAGAAACCATAAAACAAAGACTGGGGATACGGCTCAAGACTAGCGCATTTGTCCTAGCATGCACACAGCCTTGAGTTCCACCCAGCACTAAAATGCACACAGATGCACATGCATGTGGACTCTTATTTTCCTACATGGGCATACCAAAATCTAAAGATGCTCTTCTCTTACATAAAATTATGCAGTAATGTATACAAACCTATGCCTTATGCAAAATGGCATACATTTGTGTAGAACCTACAAGCATCTTCCCATACACTTTAAATCTTCCCTAGATTATCTAACACTTGGTATGCTGTAAATGCTCTAAGTAGTTGTGTTATTTCTGGCCTGGGGTTGTAGCTCTAGTGTGAAGAACTTGCCTAACATGTGCAAAGCCTTGGACTACTCCAAAACCGGAAAAAAGGATGATGTTCAGGAAAAAATAGCTGGATGTGGTGATACATGCCTGTAGTCCCAGCACTGGGGAGCTGGAAGCAGAGGATTGCCACAAGTTCAAGGCTGTATAAAATACCAGGCCAATCAGGGCTATATCTTTATAAGATATATAAGACCCTATCTTGAAAAAAATAGCAATAATGGTAAAAAAAAATCTGCGTGTAGGTGTTCAGTTCATATGGATCTTTTAAAAATATCTTTGTTTAGTCAAACCCTCAAATATGGAACTCTTAGATGGAGAGGGATGACTTGTGTCAGGTGCTTGAAGGGCTATGGAATAAAAAAAGAAAATTGAGGAGCAGAGAGTGAGGGTAGCCAGGACTATAAATAGACTGTCCAGGCAAGCCCTGGCTGAGCCGCCCTGAAGAAGGGGAGGCTGTGAGCTTTGCAGAAGTCTGAGGTTGGCACAGGCCAGGCAAAGTGAGCAGGGAGCACAGCGACAAGATGTGCTTGGCACATCTGTGTGAGGACATGTGAGGAGCCCGGTGTGGCAGGAGCAGGCTGCGGGAAAGGTCAGAGGGACTGCAGGTTATGGGGAGAACTTTGTTCTGACTGAGGGGGAAGGCTCAGGAGGGTTGTGAAAAGAAGAGGGACATGATTTGTCTTATTGTGTAATAGTATAGCTGGTTGCTCTAACAGTCTGTAGCGCTGAGGGTGGAAGCAAGACAGTGCGAGGAAGCTGTCAACGGTCTGGGTGACTGCTGAGAGAGGCTTGTTTTGGGAAATACATGGAGTGCTAGGAATAACACACTGGGCCTTTGCACATGCTAGGCAGTTGCACTACTGAGTGTGGGATCCTACTAGCCTCATTCTGAATACATTATCTTTTGTTGTCTGCGGAGGATTTTCTGAGACAGGGCTTTGTAGCCCTTGATTGGTGTGGAACACACTATGTGACCCAGCCCAGGCTAGACTACTTAATAAGACCCCAGTCTTTGAGAAAAGAAACTGAGCAAGGCAGACATGTCAGATCTTGAGTTCATGGTCAGCCTGGTCTACAGAGCAAGTTCCAGGACAGCCAGGACTATGCAGAGGAACCCTGTTTAGGAAGGAAGGAAGGAAGGAAGGAAGGAAGGAAGGAAGGAAGGAAGGAAGGAAGGAAGGAAGGAACTGAAAGCCAGGTACAATTTCACAGGCCTTCAGTCCCAGCACTCAGGATGCTGAGGCAGGTAGATCTCTATGAGTTCAAGGCCAACCTGGTCTACAGATTAAGTTCCAGGACAGTTAGGGCTACATAGTGGGACCATGTACACACTCTGTGTGTGTGTGTGTGTGTGTGTGTGTGTGTGTGTGTGTACATACATACAGTAATGGTTAGAGTAAGACTGAGTGAAGAGTGAAAGATGAGCTTAAAGATGAGTAGATGAACTGAGTAGTATGAAAAAAGCCAAGGCAAGCCAGGCATGGCGGTCCACGCCAGTATTCTCAGCACTCAGGAAACAGAGGACAGCCTGATCTAAATAGCAAGTTCCAAAGCAGCAAGAGCTACATACTGAGACCCCTACCTCAAATAGGAAAAGGGAGAGAAGGGGAGGGGAGGGAAGGAAGAAAAAAAGAAAGACAATCAAGAGCATGTTTGAGTGGCAGTTGGTGGTGCTAGTTAGATAGCCAAATTACCTAGGACTTGGGGAGAGGCCACAGGGCTGCATGTGGACACCTTAGCCAGCAGATGATAGTTACAGCCATGAAGACACATGCAGTTTCTAAGAAGGCACATATAGGCACGGGCAAAAGGTTCAAGTACTAAGCCCCATAACTGTGCCATATTCAAGTGTCCACTAGTTGAGCAATTTAAAGGATCCGAAGAACATCCAGTGAGGAAGGAAGGAAACCGGGGCTATGTGCTATTCTGGAGGCCAAAGGAAGAAACTGTTGCCAGGAAGAGAGAGTAATCAGCTAGACCCAGAACCACTGATGGTCTGACCAATGAGGACTAAGACTTGAACAATGATTTTTACAAAGCAGACATCCCCAGGGACCTTAACAGTTTTGCAGATGGTCAGGGCCAGAAGCCGAACTGGAGTGGGCTCAAGATACAATGGGAGCAGAGGAAGTAGAATACCTGGGAATGCACACAACTCTCTTGAGAAGTTTTGCTATAAAGGGAAGAAGGAAGCAGGTTTGCTCTGTGGGTCATTTCAACCGTTCAGGAGCTTTGGGAAAGAGGATGGCATCAGGAGAAGCGCTCTTCAGGTGGTTTTAATTTTCCTATAGAACCAGGGAGCCATGACCACTCTGTCTCCTGGTTCACCCCTAACTGTAATTGTTTTCTTCTCTCACCCTTCCGTGTCCTCCCAGGTTTACCAGTTTTTCAGCTGCCTCCCAGAGGATAAGGTCCCCTACGTCAACAGTCCTGGGGAGAAATACAGAATAAAGCAGCTGCTGCACCAGCTGCCCCCACATGACAGCGAGGTGAGGAGTGCAGAAGACAGGATGGACCTACCAGGAGTGGGGTACAGCCTGGACAGATTCAGGACAACTGGAAAGAAATGGGCAGGGTCAGCTAAGAAAAGGTGAGCTGAGCTGAAATGAAAGGCCTAGGAAAGCAGGAGTCAGAAGGGGACATTCCTTGACCAAATGTAGCTGAGCCTTGAGAGACAGGTGAGGAATGGGTATTTCCAGTAGGTGGCACCATATATATGTGTCTATGTACATACATACACACATACATACATACATACATACATGCCTAGAAGTAAACTCTGTAAGCATGGACAAAGTCTAGAAAACTCCTCCTCTCCCCAGGCACAGTATTGTACGGCCCTGGAAGAGGAGGAGAAGAAAGAGTTGCGAGCCTTCAGCCAGCAGCGAAAGCGGGAGAATCTGGGACGGGGCACCGTTCGAATCTTCCCAGTGACCATTAATGGGGCTATCTGCGAGGAGGTGAGCTACAGAAGACCTCAGCAAGTGGAGGCCCTGAGGCCTACTACTTAACACCCAGTGGGGGTGTCTCTGGAGCCCTCTGATGAATAGAGCTTATCCCTTAGACACACCACTGTCGGGTCCAAGTTGTCTCTAAGAAGGCCTTGACATATATTTCTGTCTTTTTGGTCATCTTGTGATCGGGACTTCTTAATTAAGATCTGGCCCACATAGCTGGGCATGGGGGCTCACACCTGTAATCTCGACATTTGGGAAGCTGTAGCAGGATTGTTGTAAGTTCAAGGGCAGCCAGGGTACGTAGTAAGACCCCATCTCAAAGCAAAGAACTGACTTACAAGCCCATCCCCAACAATGCAAATTAATAACAGCAATAAGTAATAAACTTATGTGTAGTGGTGGAACCTGAGTCCTGATGTAGAGCCCTCCACAGTAGGCGGGATTTGTCTCCAAGGCCATCCCTGGTGGGTGGAAACCTGTCCTTGAAACTATTTGGTGAAGTCCCTTGTTTGAGACCTCTGGGTGGAGACTGTGTCTATAACACCTCCTCTGGACCCAGCTTAAGATTTCCCCCAGCCCCTAGAGGACAGTTTGTACATAAGGCCACCCATGTAGTTAAGGTCCTCTCCTTATGGCTTTCCCATGAGCAGAGTCACTCTCTTATGTGTCCCTTGCCTCCATGTGAGTGAGAACTATCTCAAATTTATCCCATAGGTGGTGCTAGTTACTGGAAAAATCAGGAGTTCAAGGCCAGCCACAGCTGTGTATTAAATTCAGAGCCAACCCAGGCTACATGAGACCTTGTCATAGGTTCAAGTTGTCACACGTTTGGCTGACTCCATCCGTCTGACTATCTTGGTGACTGTGATAGTGTCTGTTATTTGGCAGTGTGGAAAGCAAATCGGAGGCGGGGACATTGCAGTATTTGCCAGTCGAGCAGGCCTTGGTGCCTGTTGGCACCCTCAGTGCTTCGTGTGCACCACCTGCCAGGAGCTGCTGGTTGATCTCATCTACTTCTATCATGCTGGCAAGGTCTACTGTGGGCGCCACCATGCTGAATGCCTGCGCCCTCGCTGCCAAGCGTGTGATGAGGTTCGTGCCTCCGTGGTCAGAGGTGGGAATGGAGGGTGGACGGAGGCAGAAGCCGCTCTTCTAACAGCCCCAGGTGCCCTATGCTCTGCAGATCATCTTCTCCCCTGAATGTACGGAGGCCGAGGGCCGGCACTGGCACATGGGTCACTTCTGCTGCTTCGAGTGTGAAGCTTCGTTAGGAGGGCAGCGCTATGTCATGCGTCAGAGCCGCCCCCACTGCTGCGCCTGCTATGAGGCCCGCCACGCGGAGTACTGTGATGGCTGCGGGGAACACATCGGTGGGTGAACATGATGGGACAGCACAGGGAGTGTATGAACAGCTAGGCCATGGCCCCGGTCACTGTCCCTATCTCCCTCCTTCTCCCTCCTACCCTCCTGCCCTCCCTCCCTTCCTTTGGTGCTGGAGATGGGACTCAGACATACTCAACAGATTTTCTGCCACTGAGCTATACTCCCCCAACCCGTATGCCATGCCTTCTAAATCCCACCTACATATCAGTCCCCCACTACACACCTAAATACACCTGCAGAGAATCCTGAGTGTACTGCTCAGAGCTCCGCTCTATTCTTTCCCACTCTCTACCCTCAGCCTACCTGAAGTCCTATGTTCTAAAACTGGCTTCTTTCCCAGCAAATCCATGTCTCGCCCAAGTCCTGCCTCCACCAAGCAGGCCTCTTTTCAGGTCCTGCCTTCCATTTGCCTTCTACCTGAAGCTGCCTGGCACCTGTAATGCCCGCATATTACAGCTGAGTGCCCATCTGTGCTCTTTAAATGAGCTTCCTCGGAAAGAAAGAGGAGACGACACCATTGCCAGCCCCTCTCCAAGAGATAAGGAAGATGAGGGCCAAATCTCACATTATCTGCCTTCTCCAGAGAAAGGGCCCCTTCCGGATGTGGGAAGGAAAATCAGGGTACCCTATCTCAAATCCCCCACCTCTTCCTAAGAGCCCGCTTAAGAGGGGTAGCCTACGGGTGCTGCCACAATTTTCTCATTCATGTTGGGTTCCACAGGCCTGGACCAGGGTCAGATGGCTTATGAGGGCCAACACTGGCACGCTTCAGATCGTTGCTTCTGCTGTAGCTGGTGCGGCCGAGCTCTGCTGGGGCGCCCTTTCCTGCCACGCCGTGGCCTAATCTTCTGTTCACGAGCCTGCAGCCTCGGGGCTGAGACCACTGCTCCCGGGCCCGGCCGCCGCAGCTGGAGCACCAGCACAGTGACCGCACCGCTCGCAGCTTCTGCGGCTTCTTTCCCGGCTGCGGAGGGGACAGCGGAGACGACAAGCAAAGGCACCTGTACCAAGGCCGAGCCTGGTGAGCCCCAATTCTGCCCTGCCTTACCTGGGCTGCCCAGCCTTGCCCTGAAGCATTCTTGCTCCCAAATAGCTGGGCCCATCCTCCTTCTCCGTGCCATTTCAGGCCTAATCTCTAGCCCTAACTCTACCCGTCTGTTGACTAGCCTGGGTCTGCCCAACACCTGCCCATAGGACACCTCAACTGGTCCCATCTTGAGCCCAAGTGTGTATTTTCCACACTTCCTCCAACTGGTCACCCTCCATCCACTGCACCCAGGATTCCCCCATTCCATCTCAAACCAAATCTACTCCAGCCTTTGATATGTCCCCTTCTGGCCAATCCACCCATTGGCGGACCACAACCCAAACACCAAACCTAACCCACTCATGCTAATTTACTTCCTACCCTTCTCTCCACCTAAAGCCTGCACCAACAGTCAGACTTTGAAGCATCCCATCCCTGACCCCTGCTCCACTTCCCAGTCCGGGTAGAGGGAAAGAGGCATTTCCAAGTCTTCCCTCAGGTAAAGGCCAAACAGAGCAGGCAGATACCAGAAGTCTTTCATCTTTCTTTTTATAGCTGCAAGCCCCAACGAACCCTCCCGCTTTCTGAGAGGGGCCCCGCACCGCCACTCTATGCCTGAGCTGGGACTCCGCAGTGCTCCTGAGCCACCTACTGAAATCCCTGGACATCCTGCCCTGCTCCCAGATGATAATGCCTTTGGCCGCCAAAGTACCCCGCGTGTCAGCTTTCGCGACCCTTTGGTGTCTGAGGGCGGGCCCCGACGGACCCTGAGTGCACCTCCAGCCCAACGCCGAAGGCCGCGAAGTCCCCCACCTAGGGCCCCCAGCTGCCGCCACCGCCGAAGTAGGCGCCGACGCCGCGGGAGCCACCATCACCATCACCATCCTGGCAGACATGGCCACCATCGATGTAATGTGGGATCGGGTTCGGATTCAGGATCCTGTTCCAGCTCACCCTCTAGCCCCAGTTCAGAGTCCTCTGAAGATGATGGCTTCTTCCTGGGGGAACGTATCCCGCTGCCCCCTCACCTGTGCAGGTCCAGGACCACTCAGGACACTGCCACTGAAACCTTTAACTCCCCAGCCCCGCCACTCGCCCAGGTGTCTCACTCAGTGACGCCTCGGCAGACCCGAGACAAGAACTGCACCGTGGCTTGAAGGCAGGCAGTTTAATGGACTCTATTATCTAGTCAGTGTACACCATGATTCCCCTCACTAAGTCATGGCCCCGTTTCCACCCTCTGTTTGTATTAGTGAAACAATGCTATAGTTGTTTTAAAAAACAACGGGCCTGGCTTCTTTGCTCCAATGGCTTCACCACAGTTTCCCTCTTCCTGATGCTAACATGCATTTGATGAAAAAATTAACTTATTCGTTATAGATTTTAACAATCTGTTTATTATTTATTTAGCCCTTCACAGCTCACCCCACACAGAGAAAAGGTTATTTGTAGTGGGTCACTCATTTTGTGGCTTATGTGGGGGAATGGTTCAAGCAGAACTCAAATCAGCTGCTGGTACTGCAGAGCAAAGGGGGACCTAGGCATACCCGAAAAGGTGACCACACCCAGGAGGGTTGATTGGCAGACTGGAAGACAACACTCTCCCAACAAAGGCACTTTTCCAGGGGATAGAGCTCAATGGAGACTGCTTGCCTAGTATGCAGTTCAATCTCCTGGACCATAAGCACTTCAGTGGGGTCAGAGAATTGGCTGGGAGTGTTGTGGAAACAGGAGGAGGTATTTTTTTAAAACAAGGTCTCACTGCATAGCCCAGGCTGACCTCGAACTCACAGAGATCCATGCATCTCTGCCTCCTGAGTGCTTGGATTAAAGGCATGTGCCACCGGACCCGGCAAGAGGAAGTTTTCGGTGGAGGAGCTATTTGCAGGTAGCAGAGACAGATAGATGAGGGTCACGGGCCATCTGTGGGGTCTGCAAAATGAAGAAAGCACTGGTAGATCCTCGTGCTCATTTTTACCAACAGCAATGCTGACACACTTATGGTACCTACAGGCGCAAAAGTCCTAAGTATAAATATGGGACAGATTTGGCATTCATACCCTTCGCAAGAAGGTCCTTTCCCTTTTTTCTTTTCCATTTTTCTTCTTTTCTCTCTTTTAAGTTTTGAGACAGGGTCTCACTATGTAGCTCTGGCTGTTCTGGAACTCACTATGTAAACCAGGCTGGCCTGGAACTCACAAAGATCCACTTGCCTCTGCCTCCAGAGTGATGGGATTAAAGGTGTTTGTCGCCTAGCCCTTTCCCCTCCTTTCCCTCACCCCGCCCCCCCCATTCAACATGCACACACATGAAAGCAGGCATATACACACACATATATATTCTCTCTCTCTCTTTCTCTTACCAGTAGGGGCTGCTGTATGTCTTTGCTGCTTGAGAGGAAAGGTGAAGTAGGCATCACAGCCAAAGAGCAATGTAGCAAATATGCCCAGCACCTGAGAAGACAGGAGTGAGGGGACTGGATTAGAGAATGTACCTACTCAATCTCTGCGTCCTGTATCCACCTCCAGGGACTGGCCCACATAGTACAGTGACTCCAGCCCTACGCTAGGAAACCAGGGACCACCAGGGAAAGGCCCCCAGGAGTCTGAATACTTACTACCCCACTGTCTCCCCAGTTATCTCAGCACACGACAGTCACCCCCATTGCTTCATATGTAGAAGGCATGTGTCATACTACATTTGAGACAAAATTCTAGTAGATGGTAGCCTAACATATTGACAAAGGAACTGCCATTTTGTGCTTCTCACAAAGGTCTCTGTGTCAGACACGGGACAGACAGTGTTTTATGGCAAATGATCTTAGTAGATAAAAATCACTGCTAGGGCCAGACTTCGCCACAAATCCTGAGAGCAACTTTGGCCTGGTGTGGTGGCTCACACCCTCCTGCAGAAGCCCCTAGATCCTCAAACCCTTATTCCTGTGCTTTGGATCTGCTTCTTGGACCCTTACCCCAGCAGCGATTCTCGAGCCTCCATTTCCATCTACAAGGACAACAATGGAGGTGATCAGGTAGAGGATAGCCGCGATGAGGGATCGGAAAAAGTCCTGTGAAGTGGATGGAGAAAAAAAAGTCATTTCAGCACCCAGTGGCCTTCAGATCATTCCAACTTCCCAACCCCTTGGCCACCCTCTGCAATGTCGACCCCTTCCTCACAGTCCACGGCCAGTTGATGAATGATATCTTGGAGTGCAGATCACACATGTAGAAGACAAATAAGACAGCAGCAAAGATCATCTCCACCACCGACAGGGAGGAGTATGCGGACGTAGAAGCGCTGAAGCAAATCAAAATCACCAGGCACAGTACCTGAGAGGGGGCCCAGGAGACCTCAGTCAGTCGCGGGTTCAAAGCAACGGTTTAAATTACAAAAGAGGGATCTCAAACTCAAATTCCATCAGAAAAAAAAAATTAAATCCACTTCCCAAGGCTGGCTACATAGTTCTGTAGCCCAGCATTTGCTTAATGTGTGGGAGGCCCTAGGTTCTGCGCACTCAGCAGAGAGAGTTGGGGGTGGGAAGGAAAGAAAAAATTCAGTTTCTCAAAGAAGTACCAGGAGTGAGAAAAATGACTGCTAAACACCTCTCGCACGTGCTCGCTGTTCTCCAAGCATCGTTCAAGAGTTTTAAATGTCTTATTTCATCACAACCATCAAATGAGCTAGGTTCTATTCTATTTTACACATGAGAAACTTGAGTCATAGAGAGGTTAAGTGGCTTGCCCAGGGTCACCAAGAAAGAAGCAGAATTATGTGCTTTGGTTCCCCTTTCCCTGAGGGGAGTGGCTCTGCCAGGTGTTGCTGCTGGCGCCAGCGTCCATGCCTTTAGGGGAGGGACGTGCGGTTCCCCAGGCAACCCCTTTGGGAAGGAGTGAGACTGACACTAGAAGGGCAGGGCTCCGTTAAAGGCGCCGCACCGATTTTATAAGTGACCCAAAGGCAGTGTCCACTTGGAGAGGGATGGAAAACCAAAGTTCCCTATAACCATCCAAAGAGCTAAGGACCTCCCATCCAGTCCCAAACTGGCAAGGGAGAACTGGCGAAGGGTGGAGCGCCCAACCCTAGGGGACTAGTTCTACCCCACCCCAACAGGCCCCGCCTTTGGGCACGTTGCCAGCCCGCCAGCTAGTGCCCAAGACGGCCACGCCCTGCCACGAGAGGCTCCCACTCCCCAGGACCCCTTCTCCGCGTCCTCTATGAGTCTACGCCCCCCCACGCCGAGTCCCCAACATAAGTTATAGATTCTTCGCTTCACCAGTGCACCACCAGCTCTCTACTTCGCCCAAGCTCCACCGATCGCCGTACCCTGGCTTCGATCCTCCTCTACGAACTCACCCACCTGCACCCCACTGCCAACCAGCCTGGCCACGTGCCTGCCTCAACCCGAACAGTCCAGTACCGAGCGGTCCAGCCTGTACACCCGGCCTCTGCCCACCCTCCGGTCCCGGAGCACTCACAATCTCAGCAAACAGGAAAAGTCCCTTTTTGGTACGCGAGAAGCTGGTGCAGGCTAACCAGCAGCCAGGGGCTGAGAGGCGCTCAGAGTCCGCCATGGTGTGTGCTGGAGTCGCTGGGACACAGAAGCTGTTTTCTGGCTCACGAGTTCGAAGTCGCTGCACGCCCAGCCGTTTGTCCCGCCGTCTGGCCGGGAAGGGGGCCCCCGGGCAAAGGAGGGAATGAATCACCGCGCCTAGCTGAAGCGGGCGGGGCCGGAGGAGGCCGGGCCAGGTGGCTGCCGCCCCGGAAGCCCCCTTTGCCCTGCGGCCAAAGACGGTACGGGTCCTGCACATACCCGCATCTTCAAGTTGTCAGGCAGCTCCAGGTACCAGGTGCAAGAATACAGAGACCCTTAACTTTTCAAAAAAAAAATGCAAAAGCGCTACGTTCAACTCCGAACCGAGCGAATGACTTCCTACATTTGATCTTAGCCAAAAAGCCAAGAATCGAGTGAGTAACTCAGTTTCCTTAGCTTCAAAAAAAAAAAAAAATGACCAAGGCCCTGTTTAAGCCAGAAATTCCCAAGGCCAGGTATGTTTCCTGAATTTGGAATGCTTTGAATTTTAAAGGCATGTGCCCTTTGCTTATATAGCAATAGTTCTCAACCTGTAGGTCGCAACCCTTTGGGTCTCACGACCCATTCATAGGAGTTGCCTAAGACCATCGGATAACACAGATATTCACATTATGGTTCCTAAGACTAGCAAAATTACAGTTAGGAAGTAGCGACGAAAATAATTTTATGGTTGGGGGGGGTCACCACAACATGAGGAACTGTATTAAGGGGGTCGCAGCATCAGGAAGGTTGAGAACCACTGATAGGTCGCATATATCCTAACACCCTCGGTTTGGTGTGGGGTATTAAAACTTAATTACTTCAAGAAATGATGTAAATGTTCACAATAAGTGAGATGAAGAAAGATTGAAAATTGTTCCTGATTAGGTCAGATCAGGTTCTGTACTCAAATGGGGTGGAGGGTATGAGATGGGTTTCCAGAGTGGGGGGCTCTGGTTAGAAAGGACAGTTCGATGTGAAATAGAGGCCACGGGTGCTGCAAAGACTGAGTGAGAAGAGGGCCTGCTGATCACCCAGTAAAGAGTAGTGATATCAATAATCTGCTTAAAGCCCAGGGAGCCTTACAGGCTTACTCTGTGCCCTGCAATTCCAGGGAAGCCTTCAGCCTTCATGCTGCCTCTCAGCATTCTGGTTCTGAGAAGAGAGACCAAGTCAGCTTCAGGTAAAGAACGGGGAAAGCACACATTTTTGCTGAGAGCTGGACAAGGTAAGGGGATGGTTCATGGAGTACAATTTTGGGTAAGGAAGTTGACATTTTACACTGTGTTTCTGAGCAATTAATTTCTCCTGGCCACCTTAGTATCTAACTCTAACACATGCGCCTGGTTACCTGAAATCAGGATGTGCCCCCAAACAATGTGTTCTGGGCATTTGTTTTTTTGGGTTTTTTTTTTTTTTTGGTTTTTGTTGGTTTTGTTTGGTTTCGTTTTTTGAGATAGGGTTTCTCTGTAGCTTTCGTGCCTTTGCTGGAACTAGCTCTTGTAAGCCAGGTTGGCCTTGAACTCACAGAAATCTACCAGCCTCTGCCTCCCGAGTGCTGGGATTAAAGGCATGCGCCACTGTTATACTCATTTCAAGTATAAAGAAACCATTGGAAGGCCCAAATTCAACCTAAGGCCCTGCTTGCCCCCCAAACATAGGTTCCCTTCCAAATTAAGGGGATCCCTTTATAATTGCCATTGTTGAAGGAGTGACTGAGTAATGGAAAGGTTGAAACTTTTTTCTCAGTGTTGAATGCATGCATTCAAGGGGAGATAAATACCTGAACTTGTAGAACATGACAAATTTAGCTGCCTCTGGCCTTTCTACTTGCCATTCCCATTACTATAGATGCCCTTCCCCCAGCTTTTCATTCTCTTGCCTTCTGGTTTTTCAGGTTCCACTTCAAACACTCTGTCTTCAGCAGCCCATGCCAGCAGCCCACCACCATCTCCCACAACATAACCCCTCCTTTTCTCTATCTTTCCTTTCGTTTGTTCTTTGAAGCAGTCTCACTGTGTAGCCCAAGATGGTTAGAGCTTGGGATCCTCTTGTCACTCGGTGGGACCCTCTTGTGTCACTCGGCTGCCCACAAGGAGGAATTACAGGTGTACACAATCCCCAGCCATAACCCCCCTTTTTATTAGCACTTCTCTTAGAAGCTATCGTTTATGCATTTTTTTTGCATTTTTGAGACAAGGTTTCTCTGTGGATTTTTATTTTAATTTTATGTGCATCAGTGTTTTTCAACAGGAAGCGGGAAGTCACAGACAGTTCTGAGCTACCGTGTGGGTCCTTGGGTCCTCTGGAAGAACAGTCAGTGCTCTTAACCACTGAGCCATCTCTCCAGCCCCTCTATGTGGCTTTTTTACCCTTTCCTGAAACTAGCTCATGTAGACCAGGCTGGTCTCAAACTCACAGAGATCCACCTGCCTCTGCCTCCTGAGTGCTAGGATTAAAGGCATGTGCCACCACCGCCGGGCTTTCTTTCATGTATTCTTGTCATTCTTAACTGACATCAGTCTACTTTCGCTATGCTAGCAACACGATGGAGTTCCCTGGTATCATCATAGAACTCTCTAGAGCAGGTATACAGTTGAGGTTCAGCTGGTATTTGTCAAATATGGGTGAGATTAAGATAAAAGGTTTCAAAACCAAGCTTTGACTAATCTTGCTTTGAGCTCTCTGGGCCTCATGTTCCCCCTTTGTGAAAAGATCTATCAGTGTTGTTGGGTAGGTGTGTAACTAGATGAAAATAAATACTCCATTAAAGCTAGTAGCAGGGATGAAACTAAACTAAGGAAATGGTGGCTGGGGTTACTATATTAGTCCCCTGGGTGTGACTGTTCAGGAATTGTATACTAGAACCTTTTTCCTGACTTATGGGGAGCCATACTCCCTCTGAACTCTGAGTCATAAGTAGCTGGAAATCACCCCCACACACCCCCACAATGTTCACAGTACTACCACTTCCAAGTGCTCACTTCTTTATACCCCAGCTGCCAGCTGTCCCTGTTGGATTTTGCAGTCTGCCCCACCCCACCCCCAGTGCTACCTGTGACTCCGTGTCTGTCATTTCTCTCCCCTCCCTGCATCCTCCTTTTAGGAGCGAAAGTTGCCTGTTAGGACCACAACTTCCCTCTTTGGGGGATGGGACTGGGTGTTCAGGATGTGGTTACCAGCAAAGGTGACTGGACATTTGTAGCATTGGCTAGAGCCTGCTTTGTGGCTACCCGGGGTTGTCTATATAAGCCTTTTGACAGTAGGCCTCAACTCCCAGGGTGGAGGAATCTCTAGTCTCTTCCCCAGACCAGGATCACCCGCCCAGTGCAGCTTACCACCTTCTAAGGAAAAGGGGAGGCGTGACCCAAAGACTTCTAACAGTCTTTTTTAGTCTGGTCCACCCCGGGCACTGACTCACATCTTTCCCATTCAGTTCCTAAGTGGGGTCCGGAGAGGGGGGCAGCCCGCACCCCTAGGGTAGCAGTCTGCATGCCAGTTAAAGCTAGTTTTTTCAAGCCGGAAGTAGGAGACCGCAGTCTCTGGGTGGAGGAAGGCGCCAGGTTTCTAGATTTGCTATCTTGATGACGGCTGAGGGTCTGAAGGATTCCATGCGGGAACCCTGAGCCTCCTGGGGCACGCCCACAACTGGCCCACTTCTGCATTCCCCACGACACATGCAATAATGTGCGAACTCCAAACATGAAATAAATGAATAGGAAGAAGTGCGGGGGGGGGGGGCTAACAAAGCAAAGCAAACTGGGGAGCAAGCAGAAATAAGGATCCATATGGAGGCATGAAGGAAGCAGCACACAGCTTTCGGGTGGTTTCAAAAGGCCTTCATCGAAACCAAATCAACCCACCCCTCCCTTCCAGGGTGGACTGGGAATCCTCACCCCGCCTAGAGCACCTGGCAAGTCAGGACTGGATCCAGCTATTTTATTACCTCCCGACCGGGAAGGAACTAGGAGAATCCTAGGCGCGCGGGGGGGTGGGGGGGGTTGGGGGTGCGAGCGCTCTGGGCTCCTGGAGGGCCGTGTCACTGGCTTCATGAAGGGGTGGGGACCAGTCCCCTGAGCAGTGAGCAATGGGAGGGTACTAGACCAGATTAAAGCTTAAGGAAAAAGCTAGTGCCTGGCCGTCCGGGCATGCTAAAACCAGGTAGACCTTCACTAAGTGAACACAAAGCTGTCTGTTGGAGCTCAGTGCCTCCGCCTTCCAGCAGCCATCTCTTGAGCGAGCTGCGCGCCCCCGCCCCGAACCCCTAGAGCCTGTGAAAGACGGTCTTCACTGGGCACCAGCCAGGGCCCAGGGGTACCAGGGATACGGTCGTCCAAGTCTTCTGTGGGGTGCTCCACTGAGGGAACCACGTGGCCAACAGCCACTGCCTCTGGACTAGATTCCAAACTGGGCCGGGTCTTGGACGGGTGATGAACTGGGGAAATGGTGCTGCGGGACTTCGTCATCCTGCTTCTCCGAGGATCTGGGCTGCAATCTGAAGAGAGCAATCCTGAGGGTTAGACTGGGTGGTGCAGTGAGGGAATGGAAATCGGGGCCTTGGCTAAGAGTGGCCAGAAAAGCCTTAGAGGAAATTAGTGGCCTAGAAGTGCCACTCCCTCACAAACCCCCAACCTTACCCCCTCCAGATATACTTCTTCAGTTCAGGACAGAAATCATTGCTCAAAGGAAGCTTTCCTACCTGAGACTTCTGAATCTTCCCCTCTCACCCCTTCTCCCTTGGTTCCCCACCTACTGATCAGTGCTTAAGCGTTTTGGGGCGGTGGGAAGGGGAGTTCAGTATGGAGGTCAGAAGACAACTTGAGTGGGTCAGGTCTCTCTCCGGCTATGTGGGTCCCAAGGATCGAACTTATGTCGTCATCTTGGTGGGAAGCACCTTTATCTGTGAGCTGGCTTGCCAGCCCCCTTTACTCTCTAAAAGGGAGTATCTGGGAGATGGAATCCATGTGGCTTCTCAGACGGCTAGGCAAACACTGAACTGCATCTCAGACATCAGAGTCCTCGGTCTCAATAGCCTTACTCCATATTCCTAAGACGTTCCTTCTTTTTAAAAAAAAAGACTTTACTCCAGACCAAGACCTAAGACCTCAAAAGCATTCTCTCTAAAGTTCCTACCCTGGGATGCCCCCCTTCCCTGTCTCAGATTTTGTGAATTCCTCCACCCCATCTCGGCACTGGACCTCTACAGTCCCCACTGAGACCACCAAACCCTTTGTATGCAGGACTCAGCCTTTCCACTCTCTGAGCTTCTCCTTCCCCTCTCTGATCCCCACCTCTCTTCCCTGGGAAACTCAGCACCTCACCTCTCTTTTGATGGCCTGCAACCTCCTCAATCCTACTGACATCCATCTCTTGAGGCCGGCGGAGTACCAGGCAAAGTCGGGGGCCTCCAGTGCGTATCCGCTCCACCACCTGGGCATGAGTTAGGCCCTGTGTTGACTCTCCATTAATATGGAGCACGAGGTCACCAGCCTGCAAGAACACAGTGGCATATGAAGGGCAGACAAAGCACACTTGACAAGGACAGGGACCGTATCTCTGAATGTACTGCTGCTTAGAGCTAACCTGCAAACGACCACATCGCTGTGCTGGCCCATCCTTCAGCAGTCCATGCACAGCCAGTGGAGCATCCCCAGATACACCTCGTCCCCCTTTTAAAGTGAAACCAAAGCCTGCAGGACCTCGGATCAGCTCCACGGAAAATCGACCAGTGGCTTGTGGTAGTTTCAAAGCATAGCTTGCTTTATTCTGGGTTACTGGAGGTTGCTCCATACCTGTCACCAGAGTCTCAGGCCTTCGATGCTGGAATAAGGGCAAGAGTATACATGAATTAGCTGGGTGAATATCTTTGTTAGGGTTATTATTGCTGTGATGAAACACCTTGACCAAAGCAAGCTGGGGAGGGAAGGGTTTATTAGGCTTACACTTCCACACCACAGTTCATCATCAAAAGAAGTCAGGACAGGAACTCAAACAGGGAAGGAACCTGGAGACCAGAGCTGATGCAGAGGCCATTGGGGGATGTTGCTTACTGGCTTGCTTTCTGTGACTTGCTCAACCTGCTTTCTTACAGGACCCAGGACCAACAGCCCAGGGATAGCACCAACCACGATGGGCTGGACCCTCCTCCATTAATCACTAATTAAGAAAATGCCTTACAGCCAGATCTTATGGAGGCTTTTTTCTCAAATGCAGTTCCCTCCTTTCAGATAACTCTAGCTTGTGTCAAGTTGACATAAGACTAGTCAACACAGTGTAAAAGGTGAATGACTGTAATCCTAGCACTAGAGAATCTGAGGCCAAGGGATCACCTTGAATTTGAGGACAGCCTAGTCTACCTATCAAGCTCTAAGCCATTCCTTGACTACAGAGGGTGCCCTGTCTGAAGGCCAGCAAAAGCAAAGGGTTAGCACTGAACATAGCACTGAGTAGTAGTAGTACCTGGGATTGACGTCCCACAAGAGTGGCATGAGGCAAACGGCTGTCTGTGACTTCTATATCTGCAGAATCCAGGCTGCTAACAGCTGAGATATGAAAACGACAAAGAGGGATATCAAAATATGTTGACATGGAAACAGTCTAGGACCCCTAGGTTAACTTTATAAAAATTATTTTTACTAGGGGCTGGAAAGATGGTTCAATGGTTAAGAGCACTGGTTGTTCTTTCAGAGAACCCAGATTCAATTTGCAGAACCCACGAGGTGGCTCACAACTGCCTGCTAACTCCAGTTTAAGAGGATCTAATGCCCTCTTCTGGCCTCCATAGGCACCAGGCATGAATTTGGTACATAGACATACATGCAGGCAAAATATTTGCACACATAAAATTAAACAAGAAAAATAGTTTTTACTTTATTTTGTGTGTATGGGTGTTTTGCTTGCATGTATGTTTGTGCACCGCATGTGTACCTGGTATCAAATCCTCTGGAACTGGAATTACATTGTAAGCCACCATGTGTGTGTGATGGGAATAGAACCTGGTTCTTCTGTAAGAGCAACCAGTACTCTTTTTTTTCTCTGTATAACAGTCCTGGCTGTCCTGGAACTTGCTTTGTAGGCTAGGCTAGCCTCGAACTCATATAAATCTGCCTGCCTTGGCCTACCTAGGGCTGGGATTAAAGGTGTGCATCACCTGTCTTAAAAAGTAATCCTGTGCCGTTCATTTGAATACTCCATACCTTCCTCCCAGATGTTAATAACACATAGGCTACATGCATTAAATAACACCCTAAGTGGCTGGGGTGGTAACAGGACTTCCTAACATGTGGCACATCCTGAGTTTGCCCCCAGCACCTAAAGAGTTAAATACATAAACTATTTTAAAAAACAACCTACTCAGGCCTTTGGGAAGGTTGCCATCCCAAGATTAGGTTCCCAAAAATCTAAAACAACCTCTAATTAGCCTACAAAATTTATTTCTAATTCTCACATTTTTTTTTCTTTTTTTTTTAAATATTTATTCATTTATTATGCATTCAATATCTGCCTACATGTGTGCCTGCAGGCCAGAGAGGGCACCAGATCTCATTACAGATGGTTGTGAGCCACCATATGGTTGCTGGGAATTGAACTTAAGACCTTTGGAGGAGCAGGCAATGCTCTTAACCACTGAGCCATTTCTCCAGCCCCCCTTTTTTTTGTTTTTTTGAGACAAGGTAGCTTTGGTGCCTGTCCTGGAACTAGCTCTTGTAGACCAGGCTGGCCTCGAACTCACAGAGATCCGCCTGCCTCTGCCTTCTCAGTACTGGGATTAAAGGTATGCACCACCACCACGCGGCTCAATTCTCACATTTCAAGATCCGCCTACAGCAGACTATAATCCCAGCATTCTAGAAGCAGAGGCAGGAGTGTTGGATTGGAGGCCGATGCGGCCTCTAGCAAGAGACCTTGTCTCATGAAACAAAACAAGGGCTGGAGTGATGGTTCAGCAGTTAAGAGTGTCTACTACTCCTGCAGAAGACCAGAGTTCAATTCCCAGCACACATATGGCAGCTCACACCTGCCTGTAACTGCAGCTCCGGGTAGATCTGATACAGTCACATGTATATACCTGCACACTCGCACACACACGCACACACACAATTAAACATAAATAAGCCAGGTATAGTGGTGCATGCCTTTAATCCCAACACTCAGGAGACAGAGGCAGGCAGATCTCTGAGCTCTAGGCCAGCCTGGTCTATGTAGTGAACTCTGGGACAGCCAGGGCTACATAGAGAGATGCTGTCTATAAAATAAAATGAAATAAAACTTAAATCATTGAACACACACAAGAAACCAAGCAAACAAAAATCTCCCTCTAATATGTTCAGTGCTTCCTTCCACTGGCATTTCAGGCTCACCCCTTTGTAGAATTCATCTCCACTCCCTAAGTGCTGCCTCCTTGGAAATGACATTTTGGACAATTTCACACATGTATAAAATGTATTAAAATCATCCTTATTTCCATTATGCACTCTTAACCCTCTCCCACTCCTGCTAACTCCCTTCTTCCCAATCGCCCCCTCCCACACCCAGGTTTTTGTATGTGTTGCAGGTAGCTACAGCTACTGAATGTTCAAGATTGCGAATGCCAAGTCGAAGTCTCGCTGACCTTAATAACTACCCAGCCCAGCACTTTCCACAAATGTTCTGAAACTCATCTATCGCAATAACCCCGAAGGAATACACTCCAGTTCCACGAGGTTTCGCTCCCTCCTAACCCCTCCCTGAGGAATCACACTCCTTAACAGTCCTAGGCCTTCCGGCAGGAAAGCCAACCCCTTCGGCCCCGCCCTACGGAGCCCTTGCACTTACCCTCCTTGTGGCGCAGGCGCAATGTAGTACCCGCCTTTCGTACCAACGCTGACAAGTCCGCTGCAGCTCTGGCCGCCAGGGGGCGCGCGTCCAGACGCTCCAGGAGCTGCCGAGCGCGGGGGCCCCCGGACCCAGGTAGGCCACCTCCTGACCGGAGAAGTAGACAAATCATCATGGTCCCAGAGCCGTGGAACCCCGACCTGAGTGATTCCTAAGTCCAAAGACCTAGAAATGTCCCCCCGGATATATGGAAATCCCCGTCCACTCCAGTAGTTCCAGCGATTGACGCCAGTCCCCTCCTCTCCTATGACCCCCGACTGCTACAACTGTACGCGCTGCCGGCTGTCTTGCCCCATAAAGTCCCTGCAGATAACCTTTTGATAGCAATAGACCTGGATACCTTGGAGCAATCAACACATTTCTTTGGAGCTCACCATACTATCCCTTAGTAACACTAGATGCCAAACTTCTTTGGCGTGACTCTGGGGACCCTGCTTCTCCCACATAAGCCCCTCCCCGCGAGCAACTCTGAAGGCCCCAATTTCACCTCCAGTATACTAGGCAATCCCTCCTACACCTAAGAGTTCCATAGAAGGCCCAGTGTCTCCTCAGGGCGCAAGCATCTCCAGATACCCTGTCTACAGATCCCCAGCCCACCCTCCTAACCCCCTACAGACTGCCTGCCCTGACTCAGCAGGTGCCTCCAGGTTTCTGTTCCCAGACTCCTGAGCTAGGTCTCTGGAGTCTGATGTGTCCCTCCACCATACACACACACCCCTGAGTCTGTAGGGTAGGAGACCTGAAACACAGTTCCCATCGCTGGGCCCCTGGTTGCTGCCAGGACAGCCTGGGCAGCAAGGCTGGTGTTTACCACTTGTGGGGTGAAATGGTTAGGAGCCGACAGGCAACGAGAGGGTGGCCTGGGACAGCTCCTTCCCTTTCTCTCTACTCCACCCACGCCAGTACCTCCTCTGCTCCCTCTAGGGTCTGCGGTGTTCCCAGCGCGGGAGTCCATAGCCTGTGGTGCGCCTGGAGGACTGGGGCAGCCAGGTGATTAGTTTTTAGCACAGGGGCGCGCTCAGTTGGCTCCTAGCCCAGGCCTGGACGTCGCTGTTGTCTGGCCAGTCCCAGGCCTGGCGCCCGGACTGTGAGGTGACCTACCTGGCCGCAGGCAAGGAGGCCTGGTTGAGGGAGCCTGTAAAGTCAGAGTTCAGCCTTTCTCTGCCCTAGGCGCTTCTGCTTTTCTTGACTGGAGACTGGTTAAAACTGAAAAGCCTGAGCGTACCAGTTGTTAAACAAGATATGCAGGAAATGGAACTTAAATAAACTGCTGGTATAAAAAGTATGAAAAGGTACGCTAACTTTAGAAAACAGTTTGTAAACATTTTCAAAATTAACAATAAACCATCAGAAAGAAAACTAATTAAACATACAGAGATGAGCCATGTATTCCATTCCGGAGTACTTATCTAAAGGGATGCACACTTTCCATAAAGACGTGAGGATGAGTGGATTTGTTTGTTTGTTTGTTTTCTGTTTTGTTTGGTTTGGTTTTTCGAGACAGGGATTTTTCTGTAGCTTTGGATCCTGTCCTGGAACTAGCTCTTGCAGACCAGGCTGGCCACCACTGCCCGGCTGAGGATGAGTGTTTATGAAACCTTTGTTTCTTGTCACCTTCTCCTTGGGCAGCCATAACAAAATGTTGCAGAGTGGGTGACTGAAACAACACTTTATTTCCTGTTACTCTGGAAACTGGAAAATGAAATATCAAGGATCTGAGCAATTTGATTCTGGATGTATGACTTTTGATTTTCTTCGTTTGAAAATAACTGCTTGCCAGGAAGCAGTGGTGCACACCTTTAATCTCAGCACTCAGGAGACAGAGGCAGGTGGATCTCTGAGTTCGAGGCCAGCCTGGTCTACAAATCAAGTTCTAAGACAGCCAGCACTACACACAGAGAAACCCATCCTGAAAACAAAACAAAAAATAATGTTATAGGAATGTAACAAAACATTCCCTTAAGCCATTACTAGGAGAGCAGAAGCAGGCAGATCTCTGTGAGTTCAAGGCCAGCCTGGTCTATATAAGGAGCTCCTGGCCAGCCAAAAGTACGTGGTGAGAGACCCTGTCTCAAACAACAACAAAGATTTAATTGTCGGGTGGGATGGTACAGTCCCGAATCTCATGTATTTGGGAAGCAAAAGCAGGAGCATCAGGAGTCCAAGGTTATTTGTCTACACAGCTTATTGGAAGAGAGTCAAGGATATAGAAGACTTTATCAAAAGGTGTGGTTGAAGTTAGGGGATTTAACAGAGAGCAGAGTGCTTGTCTAGCATGAATAATGCACTGAATACTGCCATACCCAGTTCTCTCTCTCTCTCTCTATCTCTCTCTCTCTCTCTCTCTCTCTCTCTCTCACACACACACACACACACACACACACACACACACAAATAGATAGGTAAGTAGATAGGTAGGTAGGTAGATAGATAGATAGATAGATAAGATTACAGTGGAAGGCAACTCAACTCAGCAACATAAAAGAATTAATAATCTGAACTCAAATGATTATGATATGGACTGGAGGTATAACTCAGTAGTAGGGTACATGCTTAGCTTGAGGTCCCAGGTTAAGAAATTCACCAAAATAACTATAGTATGCAAAAGGACACAAACATATCTGTAAAGAGTACATGCATATGACCCCAGTTATGTAAAAATCTAGTAAAAGGCAAACTGATGTACAGTGACAAAGAGTGGGCCAGAGACTGCCTGGAGAAGGGACCAGGGTCAGAAAGGAAGAATTAGAGAGGTAATAGATTACACTTGATGGGATGACTCTGTTTGGTATTATGATTGCAATAATAGCTTCATGGTTATTAGCATACTGTATTCAAAACCTATGAAACCAGACATGGTGGTAGTGGTGATTGCCTATAATCTATAGCACTTGGGAGGCTAAAGCAGGAGAATCTTGAGTTCAAGACCAGCCTGTGTTACATAGAGAGACTCTGTCTCAGAAAAAATAGTGTTTAGGACTAGAAAGATGGTTCAGTAGTTAAGAGTACTTGATGCTCTTCCAGAGGACCAGGTTCAATTCCCAGAACCCACATGGTGACTCACAACTGTTTAATTCCAGTTCCAGGGCCATACCTGGCCTCTTCAGCATCAGGTATGCATGTGGTACGCATACATACATGCAGGCAAAATATCCGTACACATAACAATTTTTAATTTTTTATGATTTATTTATTCCATGTGCATTCATATCCTGACTATATGTATGTCTGTGTGCAGGTATCAGATCCCCTGAAACTGGAGTTACGGGCAGTTATGAGCTGCCATGTAGATGCTGAGAATTCAACCCAGGTCCTCTGAAAGAATAGTTAGTGCTCTTAACCACTGAGCCATCTCCCTGGCTCCCTCAATTTTTAACTTTTAAATTAAAAAATAAATGGGGCAAAGCATGGTGGCGCACACCTTTAATATCAGCACTCAGGAGGCAGAAGCAGGAGAATCTCTGTCTGGGACCAGTCTGGTGTACAGAGGGAATTTCAGTACAGCCAGGGCCTAAAACACAAACTAAATGGTGACAAGATGGTTCATCTGCTATCACCAAGCATGATGACCTGATTTCAGTCCCCAGGCCCCACATGGTAGAAGGAGAGAACGAGAACATCTCTTGCAGATTGGACTCTGACCTCTGCCTGTGTGCCCTAGCATGGTCATGCCTTCCCCTCAAATACTTTTTAAGTTTTCATTTAAAAAAAAGTAAAGTGAAACACCTTGCAGGGGACAGTGAAATGACCAAAAGGACAAGTTTCTGGAACCCAGGTCAGTGTGGAGGGAGAGAAGCGCCACATGTATGCCACGCAGGCAACTTAAAGCTGGATTTCTAATTTTCTTGGCAGGCTTACCACACATACATCACCATCCCCACTTTCCAAAGGGCTACACTGACGCTCTAGAGGTTGCAATGGCTGGGGTTCTACTGTCTGTACCCCACTGAACCCTGTAGCATGAAATTTTTCTATTCACCCCACTAATGACAAACCAAAGAAACTATTCCACCAAACCTTCTAGCTTAGGGAAACAATGAGTTTAATCGGGATTGCTTTCAAGTTTAATTTAATGTAATGTGTATGTGGGTGTTTTGCTTGCATGTTCTCCTGTGCCCTATGTATGTGTCTAGTGCTTACAGAGGCCAGCAAAGGGGGCTGGCTCCTCAGGAACTGGAGATGCAGCTGATTGGGAGCCTCCATGTGGGTGATGGGACTTGAACCCCGGCCCTCTGAAAAAGCAGCGAGTGCTCTTAACCACCACTGAGTTGTCTCCAGTTCCTGACAAGGATTCCTTACAGGAGCAAGGGGAAAAAAGAGTTAGCTTGGTGGTTAAGAGCGCTTGCTGCTCTTGCAGAGAACCTGAATTCAGTTCCCAGCATCCGTGTCAGGCAGCTCACGACATCTGTAACTCCAACTCCAGGGACCTGGTACATACTCATGTGCATGTACCTATACATAGACACATACCTAGCCATGCAAATAATTAGAAATAAAATAAAATCTTAAAGAATTGGGATTTTTTAAGGGATCATCGAGGTGGTTCTTAGAGTAAAGGCCATTGCCCCCAAGGCACAGGACCTGAGTTGTAGTCCTGTGACTTACATGATTTAAGGAGAGAGCCGATTCCTTCCTGTATTCCTCTGATCTCCACACACATACAAACTCGAATGAAATGTAGTAAAAAAAGGAATTAACCCCTCTCTCCACCAACAATTCTACAATTTTAAATTCATGGAGGGGGCACGTGTATACACGTGTATACATAGCAAGCACAAGTTCAGAAGAAAACTGTGAGAATCGGCTTTCTCCCACCAAACTCAGGTTGTCAGGCCGATCACCGAAAACCATTATCTGCTGAGGCAGCTCACTAGTCCAGCTCTTGCTATTTCTTGGGAGATCATGGCCTCACAGGTCCCTCTCCCTAGCAACTAGCATCCTAGAGAAGTGGTGTGGCCTCATGAATCCCCTCCAGCAGTAACTGATAATGTCAACTGGTTTATAGTTCATCAGGGCAACGAGACCTCCGAGATGGCTAAGATGGTAAAGGTACTTTCTGCCGAGGCTAAGGTTTGACTTCCAGGACCCACATAATGGAAGGAGAAAAGCAACTTCCTAGGGTATCTTCTGAAGTCTGCGCACGTGCAGTGGCACATGTGTGCAAAACAATAAATGTAATAACGTTTGTTTGTTTGTTTGTTTTCGAGACAGGGTTTCTCTGTGTGGCCCTGGCTGTCCTGGAACTTGCTCTGTAGACCAGGCTGGCCTCGAACTCACAGAGATCTGGTAAAGGTAGGTGCCACCACTGTCTGACTTTGAAATAAGTTTTTAAAGAGGGCGACAGGCTTGTCATACCCAAGGACAGGGTTCCACAGCAACCTCCTCCCTTGCTGATAGATTCAAGTGATACAAGCTTCACTCCTTGGTCATTCCTTGCCCTTGTCTCCTGAATCTCAGGATTTTTTGGCATCATCTTGCCCAGGGAGTCCTCATCCAGCATCCTAGGCCCCTTGTGTAGTAATTCATCTCTGAGGATGACCTTGCAGCTACCCATTCCTTCTCAAGTACCCATGCCTGAACATCTCCCAGTCTGGACATTGTTCTCCATCCCCAAACCCTTGAACCTCGCATCTAATTGGCATGCCCCTAAGGTGCTCACCACTCCCTTCACTGTCCTGCCCTTAGACAATGCCCTAACCTGCAAGGCTCTCACATCCTTGGAGCTAAAAGGTTTCAAGCCTCCGTTCTTTAGATTACAAGCACCCTGCTACCCATCCACAGGTTCCTTAATGCTCAAGCCCCCTGGCGGGAAGCCCTGTGCATCATCTAGAGGTGAATATCTCAGCCAAAGCTGAGCATAGGGACTGGAGAGATGACTCAGAGGTTAAGAGCACTTGCTTCTCTTGCAGAGGACACATATTGGCCTGTAACTCCAGTTCCAAAGAATCTGACACTCTCTTCTGGACTCTGCAAACACAAACAAGTGACATATATACATAAATAAAAGTAAAGATTTTTAACAATATAAGCAAAGCCAGGTATAGTGGCATGCACCTGTAATCCCAGCATGCAGGAAGCTGTCAGAGGATTGCTGGCAGCTTGAGGCAAGCCTGAGCTACAGAGGAAAATCTTGTATCAGAAAAGGAAAAAAAAAATTAAAAGACCGAGAAGAGTAGCAGTTCCAATGTGTCTTCCCTCATACAAGGTCAGGCCAAAAATGCAGGGCAAGGGACCACAAGAGTGAAAGCAGGGACTGTTCAAGCCCTTGTCACCTGT